CAGCAGAGGAAAGAACAGCAAATTAGAAACCCAAGTCTATCGGAAGACAACCCACACCAATCAAGTACTCCCTTACCACAGTAACAACCCATCCTCCCACAAGAGGAGCTGTGTAATTATTCAGACAAGCACAAACACAGTGCAACAACCCAGAACAGCAGAAAAAGGAAACAGACCGCCTACACAACACCTTCCATCAAAATGGATATCCACGCAATTTTATCAAAAAGTGCCTGGCCACTCAACCCACTACAACACAACCCACACAAGCTATGAAAAGGATAACACTACCCCACATCAGAAGCAACCAACAGACTGTTACAACCACATGGCATCTCCGTAGCGCACAAACCAACTAAAGCCCTCCAAAACATCAAAAGACCCAGGAGCCCAAGAAGAAAAAACAGGAGTCATGTACAACATGCAGTGTAAGGACCGCAACAACCACTACGTAGGGCAGACAGGCAGAAGGCTGGCAGGCCGCATCCACGAACACCAACTAGCAGTCAGAAGACACGATGAAAACTCCTTAATCTCACAGCACATGGACAGACTCAACCATAGTTTCATCTGGGAAACTCAGAGCATCCTAGACCAAGCTAAATCCAAAAACGCAAATCAGCCATCAACAGACACGTAGAGATAAGCCACATTTACACATCATTCAAAAGAGACAACGAAAAGCTAAGAAGGAAGCAAAAAGACCAGAACGCGCATCCTCTCCAGCAGCCAACACCCAGAGAAGCAGGGATTAACAGCAGACAAACCATCAAGCAGAAAACAACGCCCTAATCAGGGAACCACCAAGGAGAAGACAACACCCCCACCAACTACATACGGGGCAAGCTACTGTAGGTAAGCAGGGAGCAAACTCCACCCTCCCTCGCCCTGATGATGTGACCTCGTTGGGCGATGAAAGATTTGCAAGCGAACAACTAAGGTCAGAGACCACCAAAGACTCCGCTGAACAAAGATTTACCGAAGAAGGGGAAAGTTGGAAGATGAGCCTTAAGACAAAAGGAAAGGCAAACAGATGCCCTAGTAACTCTTACCAGTGTTGGTGGCAGTGGCCATGGCCCCAGTGGCATCAGTAGTGATAAAGTAATTCTCACTCAGGTGTGGGAAGCGGGTCTTCATGTCCTCAGTGAGCTTCTTGATGGCCTCCTTCTGCTCCCCTCCGCTCAGGGAGAGACCCTGCAGTCATATACAGCTGCACTGTGAGCCCCCACCCACAACTCACCAGAGCACCACCTCTGACCCAGAGGCTGAGTAAGACATCCGCAAAGCGTACGAGCGCCCGGGGAAATCATTCACGGGGGAGGCTGTCAGGAGGAGACCCCCCACCCTTCCCCATCCTGGGGCCCTTCAGATGTCGTGGGCTGCCTGGGTGGATGTCTGGGGGGTGGAGTCCCACCACGTCTGGTTGGGGGAGTCTCTGCAGGCTCCTGAGCCTTTTCTAATAAAGCCATTTTATGGCTTCATCAGAAGAAGTCATGGCTGGATGCTCAGGGGAAAGTCAGACCGCAGCGGGGAAGCTCTTTCTCCAGTGTTGATCTTTTCACTGTGGCCACAAACGGGTTGAGCTCCACTCTGGCAAACGTGGCCAGCTTCTTTCACCACCTGGGCCAGCGGCACCCACAGCACACCGTGGTGATGCCAAAATGCTGACCGGCTCATGACATCATCACAAAAATACTGCCGCTGGGGACCTGCATCCCAATGTCACGTCCCAGCACATGCCCATGATGCCAGCATGCCTGCATCCTCATTCCCCCACGTGCCCCGGGCACTTCCTAAAGCCCATGACCGGCTCCAAAGTGGCAACGGGAGGCTTTCGTGGAGAGAGGGCAGAGACTCACCAGAGAGCGAAGAGGAGTGTGTGGGTCACCCCCTGCCTTCTTTTTGGCTTCCTGGACCATGGCGTCAATCCGCTCCAGGCACTTGTCTGAGCCAACCAGCTTCTCGCCCGGAGGAGAAAAGAGACACCTCTTCAATCTGCACCCTTACGGCACTCGCGCCCACATTGCAAAGACACTTGGCCCTCCCTTTGCCCGTTTTCTGGATCCTCTTGTTATCTTAACTGAGCTTTGCTTCTTCGCAGCAGCTTTCCCCAATTGAGTGCCCTCTACCTCAGTTGGGTGTTTCCCTCTCGTAGCCTCCCACCCAGCAGAGGCTGGCATCTGGCAATAAAAACCCAGCACTGCCAAGAGCAGCCATCTACCTGCAGCTGCCAGCTCCTATGTGGACTGGTGGCAGGTCACGTGGAGGAGGCCAGCTTCCCCAACTCCCCCCCCCCACACTGATGACCATGCTGGCGGGGTGGTGGTGGTGAGGATCCAGTCCCTGCAGAGCCATCACGCCTGCAGCTACGCTCGTGTCCTCCTGGACACTGGCCAAGGGTGCTTGAGTTTACTGGGGTGCAGAGAATCACAGCTGTCGTCCTCCGCATTTAGATTTTGTTTTCCAGAGCATTCTCTCGGTTCCCGCAAGCAAGAGGGTCACGGAGGAAACACAAGCTGTTTTTTTAGACGTGCATGAAAACCAAGCAAAATTGAGCAACTCCCCCTACTCCCGTTTTCCCTTCACCCACTTGGTGGCGAGGAGGACCACATCCTTACCCAGTGGTTGGTGCAGGGCCCCTCTGTCTCCGCCAGAATCTTGCCATCTTCGGAAAGCAGCACCACCTTGGAGTGGGTTCCCCCCCTGCAGGGGGAGGAAAAATGCCGCTTTAGGGGCTACAGAAGAAGATTCTGCTTTCCACCGCCCCACTCAGCCCCCTCCCTCCTTCCACCTCAGCAGGGTCACTGAAGCACAGCTTGCTCATGCAAAAAATCCAGGAAAAAGTAAAAAACTCAGGACACACCACGGGTTACCACCATCTTTCAGGATCCATCCTGGGCAAATCTCCAGCTGCAGGACTTCTGGGCAGGCGCCTAGCAACTCACTCCAGCAGGCCCATTTCTGGTCACGGAAAAATATCCATGCACCATTCTCATTTGAACTAGGCCCCCTCCCCACTTTTAGCCTTCCGGAAGGCCATGAAGACCCAGCTCTTCCCCCCAGCATTGGGCTAAGGTGGCCTTGAGTCAGGAGGCTAATAGCTGGGTTGCTCCAGTGCCTGGTGGGCAAGGTGGTTCTGCTTCATTCCTGCCTTTGTGGCTGCTGTGTGCCACCTAAGATCACCAGGTGAGGGAGGTGGCCATATGAGGTCTTATTTAAGTTCTGGGTTGGGGAGGGGGGAGACGAAAGAACGATGGTCTTGAGGGCGGCGTGGGTTCACGCTTCTGAGTGCTGTGCAGATTACGCAATGAGCCCCTCGCACACAGCCCAAAGATCACTGATTCTATGGGAAGCCCCACTGTGGACCCCCAAATGAAAACCCCAAACTGGAGGTGGGCAACTGAGTGCCTCAAAATCCTTCCTGACACAGCTGCTGAAAGTCAGAGCTGCCATTTCTTACCATTTTCAGGTGTGGAAAAACACACAACCCCTTTGCTTTAAGGGTTAGACTTGAGACGGTCCCTGCTCTTCCGGCAAGAGATTCGGCCGTCGAAAGATCGCCCTTCTCTGCCAGAGATCAGTTCTCCCACCCCCGCTGCTGAACTCCCCCCCTCCAATAAATAAGACAACTTTGGAGCACCCACAGGAGACGGTGGGACCAAAGCAGAGCCTCGAACGCAAGATGGGCCTTCTCAGTGACCCCCCCCCGGACTTGCTCTTTGCCCTCACAGGTACGGGCCAAAGGGAGAACCTCGTGCAATGCACGCCCCAGACCGCACACGTTCGGGATAACCTGTTGCACGACGGAGATACTTAGCTCACACGTGCCGTTTCCATCTGCAGTTGTGCGGGGCATGTCTAAAATCAACTCGCGTTTCAACGGGAAGGCCCATTTCCTCCTCCTTCCCTCTGGCATTCACAGCATTGCAGCTTCAGTGGCATCACGTTTACCAGGGCAACCTCAAGCAGCAACCAGGGAGTAGGGCCTGGGGCTAGAAACTGGCACCCATCGGTATTCTCAAGGGTGGGCCTGCTTGTGCCAAGATGCTGCCAAGAGCTGCGCCCCCAGACCCACCATCTTCCAATCGCTCCTGCTCTGGGCCCACACGCGGCTCTGCCCCCCACGAGAGGACCCAGAATGTCGTAGCGGCCATGCTCCACAGCAATTTGCAATCTTACAAGGGACTCTGGGCCACGGGGGAACAGGGCCAGTGGCCACCACCAGGGAGCATTTTAAAAAGGCCCGGGAAGGAAGCGCAGAAGCAGTGAACACGGTGGGATTCTTCAAGCTGCTCCAGCACGTCCTCTCCCGTCTTCCGGGGACCTTCCGAGCACCGTCCAGAGTCCCAAGATGTGATGGACTGGAACGGAGGAAGGGGGGTGAAAATGGCGCTCTCGTCTCCAGAGCAATGCTCTGGAGATAAGCGGAGAAAGCTGGCGCATCCCTAAACATAGTAGAGACTTGTGCCTGGGAACTGCTGGTCAGTCTGAGAAGATTTCTGTAAACAGGTGCTGGCAAATAAACCTTGCTGATTGAACCTGCACGGTCTCCAGGAGTTCCTTGGGCTAGGCCTGACACAAGCTGACTGTCAAAGCCTGGATAAGCCTTTGGCCACTTGCACATTCGGAGCAGCGGGAAAAGGAGGTAACTACAGCTTTGCACACTCTGCCACTCCGGGATCCCATCAGCCTCCTTTAAGGCCATCAGGAAGGAGGACAAGCTAAACCAAGGGGGCATTAGGTGTGGAACTTGTGTGCAACAAACGCAAACCCTGGCTACAGCGGAGAAGGGTCTGAACGGAGATGCCCCCAAGTCCAAGGAACAGCGGCTGCGCCTCTAAAGCAGCAGGTCTCACTGGGGGGCGACACGCGGCCCAAGAATTCCGGCCACCTTCAACCTTCAACCCCCCTGTGCTGGTTCCTGTCGGGCTTTTCCCTCTGGATTGTCGCGACAAAAAGGTGAACTTGGTGCAAGAGCTTTCCGGCCACAGAGAGGCCTTAACGCATGTTGGGCAAGAGGTTCTTCCCAGCTGCAGACTGGAATGGAGCAGTTCTGGGTATTTCCTGATGCGTGCAGTTGCGCAAACCGCACTGCAGTTGCGCAATCGTTGCTTTCTGGGCGCAATTCAAGGTGCTGGTTATCACTTTAAAGCTCTGCACGGCACGGAGCCTGGCTATTTGCAGAATTGCCTCTCCCGGAGGGCATCTGCCCGTCCCACCAGGTCAGATAGGGTGGACACGCTCCAGATCCCTTCTCTTAACTGTTGGCATCAGGTGGGACCTCAGAGGCGCGCCTTCTCGGTGGCTGCCCTGGCCCGTCGCAACTGCCCGCCCCGCCAAGATCGGAGGACCCCCACCCTCTCAGCCATGCAGAGGGCTGGGAAGGCTGGCTCTTCACCCAGGCGTTGGGCTCGCAGGGAAGCAGGCCTGGCAAGTGTAGAGTTGGGGGGATGTGATGGCGCTGGGGCGGGAAGTGTGATACCTTTTGTGGGCTTATATTTCTTGTTGTTCTTACGGGCTGTTGCCGTGAGCTGCCTAGAATCAGCAGGCATCAGCGGGCAATATACCTAACTTGCCTAAATGAATAGATAAGCAAACCGCCTTCTGCTGGGCTGGCACGTCCCTGCCAGCGGCAGCCTGAGTTGAGGCCTGGTGAGGTTCACTTTGCAGGGGGTGCTATTTCTGGAAGTCAGTGTTCCTCAACCGCAGGGACTTTAAGCTGGGTGGGCTCCAACTCCCAGAATTCCCCAGCCA